TCTGTAGATACTAAAACAGCCCTTCCAAATGTTCTGCCTGTTACATAATTCCACTGTGATTGTTATTACTAATAACACTTCCTTACATAAACTAATGTATTTAGATCTCATTTGCCTTTGGAAGGCATCTTATACACATACATAATTATATTTGATCCTATTAGAAGCAGCAAAATACTAGCAATGAAATACAACAGCACCTATATCCCAGCGTTTCGCTTTGATGGATCATATGAAGAATGTAGGATTCCTTGCTCGTTCCTGTCAGGCCAGGCAATAACAGGACGGTGGGTCTTGTGCTGGCATCCGGATAATATAAGCTGTCATTATTATCAAACCAATCCAATGAAATCTGTCCTCCATCTGCTGTTTTAATGAGCTCACTGAAAGGCACATTTCAAGACAACACTGATTAGATTGAAAAATACATACACACTATTTATAAGAGTGTTTGCAGTGTACAAATTACCAGGTGTGAATTCTGCATTTTTCATTATGTTTTAATACTCGAAGTGCCACATGTCTGCATGTTTACCATGCAGAAAGAGTCACACCTAACAGCTGACTAGAGTTAGAACAGTCAATTTGTGGAGTAATTCCTGTTCACAGTAAATGAAGAGCTGGCCTTTTATAAATTGCTGCTGATGTACTGGAAGCCTGTTACTAATGTGACTTTTGGCACTGCCTTCTGTTTTATATAGGCTTGTGTACCGCAGATTTCCTTTGGATCATCTGAGAATCTTTTGATAGCACACCGGACAACGTGATAACATTTATCACATTTTTTTCCTCTTAATCCAAAGAAGCAGAATATATAATGGATGGCACTTTGTTATGTTTTAAACATGTGGAGCACAGACACACACCACTGTATCTTCCACCCTGTATCTCCACAAACTTTGCTAGAATGCACTTTTAAGCCACATATCTTAACAATGCAACAAATATTATAATATCTCAAGAAATTAAGCATTCACTAAACAATGACAAAAAGGTTTCATTCCTTTTTTAGAAACATACAGTATCTTCCTTCTTCCTAGCAATGAAGACACTGTTCGAGAGAGCTGGTGTAGCAACTACCAAAATGTATGCCTACCTTGCAATTGATTTTTCATTTTAAAGTCTTGGTAGCAACTACTCCAGATTTTAAAGGCAATCACCCTTGTTGGAATCTAGCTCAGCTTTGCCCTTTTTCAGTAATAGGAAGTAGATTAAATGCTGGTGTGTACTGCCAACACAATCTCAAATGTGCAAAATAAGCATTGCCCCATGGAATTATTTCTTCCCTCACATACCTTGAAATAGAAATATGCAAGAAGGACTAGAAAAAGTGGACATGGCCATGCCACTGAAATGTTCCCTAATTACTAAAACTAAGGGAAGCTGCTAAATGCTAAATCTATTCTACCATGCAAGCAGAGCTGAAACAACTTGTGTTGCATCCAGGTTCCGGCGCATAAAAGTACTTCTCCTTAGGTCTTGTGCCAAATGCCTCATTTGCCAGGCTAAGTCTCATTTCTCTGTGAGAGAGATCAGCTGAGGGCAAGCAATAAATATAAGGGGTTTTTTCCCTCTTAGAATTTAGGCACCAAAGAACACGACATAAACCCCACAGGTAAAAGTTACTCTGAAAAATCCATGAAGTTCTGTATATTCAAAACAAGGCTGCAGAAATGGATTGACAGGAGCTTCATGAAGTTCAATAAGGGGAAGTGCAAAGTTCTGTATCTGGGAAGGAACAACCTGTGCACTGGTACAGGGTGGAGGCTGACCATCTGGAAAACAGCATGGCAGAAAAGGACTTGGGGGTTCTGGTGGACACTGAGTTGAACATGAGCCAGCAGGAAAGAAGACCAACAGCCTGGAGGCTATGGAGGCTTAGGGGTCTTGCTGGCACGTCAAGGGAGGTGATCCTGCCCCTCTATGGAGCACTGGTGAGGCCACACCTGGAGAACTGTGTTCAGCTCCCGCCTCCCCAGTACAAGGAAGACATGGACATACTGGAGAGAGTCCAGCAAAGGGCCACAAAGATGATGAAGGAACTGGGGCCTATCTCCTCTGAGAAAATGCTGGGAGAGCTGGGACTGCTCAGCCTGGAGAAGAAAAGGCTCAGGGGGAACTTAGCAATGTGCTTACATACCTGAAGGGAGGGTGCAAGGAAGATGGAGCCATGCCCCTTTCTGTGGTGCCCATTGACAGAACAAGAAGCAGTGGGAACAACCTGAAACACAGGAGCTTCCCTCTGAACATCAGGAAACAGTTTCAATGTGAGGGTGACTGAGCTGATGTTGTGCAGTCACCATCCTGAGGGAAATCCAAAAAACCATCTGGATGTGGTCTGGGGCAACTGGCTCTGAGTGACTGACTCTGCTTGAGCAGGGAAGTCAGACAAAGTGACCTCTGGAGGTCTTTTCTGACCTCAACCACTGTGTAATCCTATGAACATATAACCACATCAGTTTCTATATTGTCACTAATATTTCAGTGCTCCAAAACTCTCTGAGCTAAAATAGGGCCATTTGGAACACTGACCTTCTAAACCTACTGCATATTGAATCCATGATGAAGACAGTTTCAAGCCTATGATGGAGTTGTAAAGGTGGGCATAAAGCAAAAACACACAAGCACAAACTTGAGCAATGACAGTAGACGTGACATGATCAGAGTAAGGTTACAACTGGCTAGCAAATCAATCACTTAAAAAAAAAGGGGCACTTACTTCCTGTACTGTACTTGGGGTCTAGATGTGATAAAGGGGCGCAGGAGCGTCTGTACCCGACCTTCCCAGCACCAGATCGTGGGATAGTAAGTTTCTGTCACAACAGGGCAATATTCCTCGAGAAAGCGGCAGAAGCGGTCATTGCTGGCCACCAGCTGGGGTTTCTAGGAAGAGAGACTACAGTCAGGCAGAGGCATTCATATAAAATAAACTAAAAAACAAATAAAGAAAGAAATTAATAATTGCTTAAATCCTCTCTGAGTGAACTGATTTATTTCATAAAATCATTTGCAATACTTTTTCCTTCCATGCTAAAGAGAAAAGTAAATGAAAATCAAATGAAATGCCAAGATGCCTGACAAAAAAGTGAAACCCACTAAACATAATGGACCCCTTACCTACTTCTAATAACATACTGATCTAGCTCTACTTTTACCAGCATTGTATCTTCACTGACAAATCAAAACCCCACCATCTCTCGGTAGGTGAGAAAGATTTGACCAAGTCCATTTTCTTGATCTGCGCAGAAATAACACTTAATTCGTGCACTTTGACCGTGCACCTGCAGTACCTACTTTAACCTGGTAGGACACTCCTCCTTCTATCTCATACTACAGTACAAGACTGCATCGGTTCTTCATCTCTGATAATGCTCTGCATGCAGAGAATTTCCTTACAGCTTCCATTTGTATACCAACTAATGTGGAAAAATCCCTGTATAGCAAACATCTTATGTTTTAGTAACCATATTTCTTAAACTTCTATTTTACAGTGACTCTCCAACATGCAAGCATTCATACGGCAAACCCAGATACTTTGAGGAAAACTGTTACATATAAAGTGCAGTAGTGTCACATCCTCACTTCTTTTTTTCTCCTGTGACCAAAATCAAGTACCCTCTTCTCAATGAAGAGGAAGGCTATGTTCTCAGTGTTCTCTGAAGGACTGTGGCAATACTCAGGTCCTCAGCAGTCAAAAACCTTTTGATATGCGTATTTTCAGCTGATTAAGCATTCAACGAGGCGCTCTCACCACGGGGCCACTTTAGATCTGATCAGGCTCACTGTATCCAAGTAATTTGCGATTGCCTAATTTGCCTATGAAACCATTACTGATGAGGAGATGTACGAGAGTGCTCTAGCCCCCCAAACACTGCCATAGTGGCTCCAGAGGTACTTAGGATGGTACCGACGGCAGTACAAGGACAGAAAAATTACTTTATCACCTGCCCTGCTAGTAAACCAAATAGGTCAGGTTTTTTTGTGGAAGGAGGGTTCCTGACCTCCCTTTCCGAACCATGGCATCCAGCCAAGCTCTCTCCCTGGTACAACTGCATTTTGGGGACGCACGAGGCCAGAGTCCCTTAT